AGGTGTGGAGGTGGTTAAATGTTAACTGTGGCTCATTGTGCAGCTCTGTGGGTGACTGTCCTCCGGGGCTCATTTCAGCGAGGTGCTTTGTAGTGTTTATGACACGGAAGGAAAACAGGAAGAATTCAGCTAGGATGCACTGGCAAAGAGAACCCTACACTGAATGGGGGGGGGGGTAATGATAAAACAGTGTGCGAAAAGCCCCAGCCAGCAACGGGTGTCTCATCTCGCAGGGTGGGGGGGGGGATCTTTTTGAAGTGCACCGTGAAGCCAGCGGACAGGCCCGAGTGCCCCAGCCACTTTGTAAACAGCGCGATGGTGATCACAGCGAAGTCACCACGTCACCGAGTGTGCGGCGAGTGTCGGATGCGTCCCCCTCCATCACCAGCTGATAACGCGGTTCTTGGAGCTGTCGTCCCCGGGAACCCAAAACGGTGTTGGTCTATCGGCAAGCCGGTCTCACACGCCCCCGCCGGAGCATCGGATGGGGGGAGGGGGACACTTTGTCAACCTCCTTATAAAAGCAGCTGCCTCTATGCCATTGCTAAAAATACTGTCCGTGCTCTGAAGGGGTCTCAGCCTGTCACCCCCCCCCACACAGAAGCTGAATATATCATTCACTAACAACACCCCTGGCCTACCTTTCTGGGAACGCCAAGGCGAAGCGCCGAAAGAGTGCTGTGAGCACTTCCTGTAGTGGTCTCGTCTAACTTGGCCCACGGAAAAAAGTGGCAATTAGTATCATTTTAGAGAGAAGAATCTTTGTAATTCTTCATCCGCGAGCCGCTTGACAGATGAACCCAAAGAGAGAGCAGCAGCCAATCGCAGGGACCTGGTCGGCGTTGCATTGTTACATCGATCATTAGAAACTGGAAAGGCAGCAATGCGGGGAGATGCGTCCGGCCCAAAAGCATCATCACCGAGAGTAAAAGCAGCCACTGCACGCCCTGGCAGATCGGTGTACGGAGTCCCGGGGAGCACTAGGGGGGGCAAATCCCACACAGACACAGCTATTGATTCCTATAACAACAAGGGAAAGAACCCTCAGTTGCGGAAGGTCTTCTGCGGCCTGGTGCTCAAGCCTGCCTGCTGTTTACTTTGGGAGCCTTAACGAATCGACCTGATAGGCAGCTGTGTTTTCTAAAGGCTTACACCTCACAGGTGTCTTTGGAGAGTTTTGCTTCCTTTATTATGGGATTAGAGTAAATCCATCCAGCCAGATAGGATTCTCAGCGGACTTCTCGTAGAAGTTTTGATTTTTTTTTTCTTCGTTGGTCATGAAACCTGGCAACTCCAGATTCTGCATGATTACCATCCCCCCCATCACAGCAACAAACAATCCACAAGCTGGATCGACTGGCTGCCCCACCGCCTCTGTGCAAATGTGGCTCCTTGAGTTTTTAAGATATTGCCAAGTGGCTGTTGATGTCAGAGAATTAGAATTTCTGAGTGGTAATTGGCTCCTCCCCCGCTCCCAGCCCCACCCCCCCTACCCGGCACCCCCTCCAGTCCACAACATTCAACTCAGGCTGGGGCTTCTGCCAAAGTCTCCGTCTTTTGTTTGGCGACACTGTTCATGTCTGCATTTGTCCCTTTTGATAGTGCCTTTCATCCTGTTTGCATTGATTACAGGCTGACGAGTCACCCTGATACCCCCCGGCCCATACATCCCCTTGGTGCACACTGGGCCCATTGTGAGCTGGAATGTGTCTCTATTCATACGCAAGCCCACATAAGAAAGCATGTCAGTAACCTAGAGGCAGCGCCGATACATGGACCGCAACCCCGTCCTTCACGCCACTAACAGGAAACTTGCTGCAGAGGAGGGGAAAAATGAGGCAATATAATTAGTGATTAATTTATTTATAAGAAGCATTTTTATTCCCTTTTAAGATCGCCGCTTATTATGTCACCACGTCGACATTCCCTGCTGACAACAGGGCTGTCAGATGCTTTGCGAATAATCGAATCATTAGGCAGGGCCTTTATCAAGCAGCCGGCACAAACACGGCCGTCAGACGGAGGCTGTGCTATAATTTAGTAGCGTCTCATTTTTACTGCTCCGTCGTTAAGAGGGCTATTAAGATTTCTGGCCTCTCGGGTCAAGAAGAATCAAGTGTGGGGCTGGAGACAGCAGCAGGGCAGCTGGGGGGGGGGGGAAAAACAGAGCGTGAGCAGGGGGGCGGGACAGGACAGACGGAATCGGATCTGTGATTGGAAGCTGCCACTTTGAAACGCAGGAGAAGGAACGGCTTTATTTATTTATTTCCGCCCGAGACCTGTGGGAATTCCGCTGTGAGCCAGGGGAGACGGGGCCTTCTCAGAGAGGACGACCCACACTCTGTGAAGAATTAATTCCGCCTCTGCAAACAGCCCAGTTTGTAATGCCTAGGGGTAGAGGTTTTGCAGTGCCTGGGATTTCACAGTAAATAAACAGTGCGGGGATCTCTGAGTGGGAGGCCCCTCTACTAGGGGTTAGGCCCCAATCTTTTGTTGCCTGCAAAAGATTAGCCTGCCAGTTATGTGTGTGTGCATTTACGCTTCTCACACAGCCTACGGTCCATCTACAGTAGCACAGAGATACGCCATATCCCACAAGGATAATGTGACAGCAACCGCAGGAATCAGGTGTCTCAATGTGACACTAAACTTGCTTAATTTCTACACTTCTGACACCCGCGCTATAAAAACCGAGCAGCAGAGACATCCTAAAGCCCCCTGAACCTGTTTGTGAGAACTATTTAATGTATGAGCAGCAAAATGTCACGTATATGAGCTGTACTTAATTTATCATTCTTAAGATCTAAACTAGATTATACTGCTGACATTGGCTTTTTAAACATTATTTAATGTCGTATGTGTAAATATATATGTGTGCGTGTTCGTATGACTCCCCGACTATACGTGCACCGAGAAGGGTAGAGGGGCGAAGTGACCCCGCTCGCCCGGCATCTCAGCTCCAGCCCGGGGATTCGCGGCTGCCACTCCCGCCCCACGTGGGGCGTCGCAAAGCTCGCAATTAGTCCGCCAATGAGAGCGAGACCTTCTTCCGGGTCTGACCCCGCGGCGTCGCTCCCCTCCGACACGCCATCAAACGTCCGGCTCCGCCAAGGTCCCGTAGCCGGCTTCTTTTATAACCCTGCGATCTTAATGTCATAGTTTGCGACAAAACGGAGTAATTATACTTTTTTTTTTTTTTTTACAAGAAACCAACCAAGAATATAGGGAAAACAAAACTTGCTCTAATTGGGCGTGAAGTTTCAGTATTTCAATGACATTTTCCCGTCCCCCCCTTAGTAAAACGGCTAAATAACATACTCGTCTCCCATAACAATTTGTGAGATGAAGAAAACTAAATCGGTACTTTTTCCGTACAGGACAGACGTACATATTACGCCAGAAATAAAAAGGTCTTCATTTAAATGGTAGCAAGAATACAGCATTCTAGATTAAGGAACTACGCCGGACTTATCAATAAACCAGACACATATAGTTGTTTTGGGTTAAATCGCGGAATTTTGGGCTTTCATAAATTTATCGCTCTTTTTGCATTTTTGTGTTATTTTCTATTATCAGGGTTTTTCCTGTTGTAAAAAAACAGAACGCCTCCCCTTTTAGGGATGAGGAACCGCAGGAAGGGATGGCGCTAACCAAAAACACGAGCGCTGAGAAATACGCGTATTACCTTACACGTGTTAAAAATTCCCTTTAAATCTACTAAGAAAAACAAATGACGACGGAATCCGCTTGGTTGCAATGAGCCTGTGTGAGTGGGGAAAAAAGCTTTGTTTTGCGGTAATAAAAATGTATTCGTTGAGCAAAAATCAAACTGATATTTAGCCCCTACTTGTTTTTTTTCCCCTTTGTTTTATGCAAGACCCTTTTTACCACATGGAAGTGACAGATTGTTTGAGATGGAGGGAAAAGCCATTCGAAGCTAATTAAGCAGCCATTCCAAGCACTATTCGCAGGCGGGAGGCTGAGAGGCACAGGCATTTGTCAGCGCTCGACCCCGCGTGGTATTGATTGACAACACGGGGCCCTGACTGACAAGCTTGCTTCGCTCCAACCAATAGCCGTCGAGCGAGTATCACCGCTGCGTGCTCATTGGACGGAGCTCTAGACGGCTCACATAATCCCACGTGGGTCAGAGTAGTGCAAAGCAACACGTGATAGGCCGTCTTTCTCGAGCGCAGACATGTTGTGCCTGAAATTGTAGGGTGTGCAGATAATACGCGATGTCTAAAAACAAAAAGTAATTTAAATGTAATTGGTCGAGGAGATAAGTTTGATCATCAATGCACGACTTAAAGTGCAAAATGCTGTTCACCTACATTAAAAGAAATATTTAATTTAAAATGTATGGCCAGTTGGTTTAACTTTCTGAACCATATTATGTTGATGTCATGAATTTTAAACCCTTGAATTATTGAACTAACAAGCACACAGGATACACAAGACACTTTCTGCGGTAGTGAAGGTACCTAACTGTCTAGATAGCCCACAATTGTGGTCACGGGACAGAATGATCCACTAACGCTTTATTATTCCGACTTACTGAGCAATTTGTTATAGCGTTGGGCGTCGTTCTGTGTTATTATTCATAGAAAAATTAATAACATAACGCGTGTATGGCTATTTTGGTTAAAGAGTTAATTAATTTCTATAGATTTCATGTCGCATTTCATGTCATGATTTTAAACATCGATGTAATGAAACAGATTCAGAGGAGAAAATATCAGTAATAAAAATCAAAATCATCGTTTGTTTCTTTTGTGAATTCTTTATGCGATTTACATTGGTGCGTGAATCATTATTATCGCTCGTGTATAAGCTATTTTTTCAGTACCTGTCCGAGTCCAAAATGGCGAATATTATGGGAGACATTCCGACCAATCAGTATGTCAAAGAACCACGGACCCCACGTGGGATTGCCACTCTCTGATTGGGCCATGTAAGTAAATTCCTTGTGAGAAGCCTATTGGCTGGTGCGCGGCGCTCTCGCGGCAGTTGAACCCTCATGTCAGTGTTCTGTCTGTGTGTGGTTCAGGCGAGCTTGGTGTAGAGGCTGGAAAAGACGCGCGCCGAGTTGCTTCATCGCGAAGCTCAAACTTTTCCGCAATTTTAAACATTCTTCGGACTCGGAGGGATGGTTTCGGACCTATCGCTGGAGTCGTCAGTCTGTTTGCTCGGTCGGGACTGGCATGTTCAGGAGTTTTTCTGCGGTTAAAAACAAAGTCCCGGGGCATTTGCTGTCCAACCTGCAGTCGGACTGGCGTTCCGATCCCGTCCTTCTCCACGGAGTCAGTCGACCGTGATCGCTCGACTTCCCGGCGAGCTCACTCGGGAGATGTGCGTACGGCTCTTCTCCCGGCCAGGACTGTAATTTCGTCGTGCGACGTCGGAGTCGCCGCGCTAGATCGCGAACGGAAGAGCTCCGGACGCGTCTGGACGAAATACTGCTGCCCTTCGCGTCCGTGGCGGACGAGACAAAAGGTAGCCGGAGCCATCAGATCCGCTTGTCTGTACGCGTGATGGCGAGCTGGTTACAGCGCTAATCAGTCTGCTGGCTGCGCGATCTCAGTGCTACAGGAATCCCAGTGTGGCTGCCTTTTTAACACAGAGAACGGGTCAGAGACTAACGGGGGAAAGATCAGCAGGCAGACTGCTATCTGGTGACGCTTTCTAGTTATTAGTTTTCACGTTTCGTTGGTGCGGATCGAGGGCAGTTTAATTGCAATGTAAATGCGTGTCTTGTATAGGTCGCTGCTTAGCTACTGCTTGACAAAACCAGTCGACCAGCTTGCAATTTTCCCGATCATGCTTTCTAAGATGTTTTCTGCAAATTGTATATAAATAACCTGATTTTTTCTCCATTGAGAAAATCGACCGAAGTACTCGATTTTCCTCCTTTTTTCCCCATGGAGAATATTGTGCGACTGCTTCGGCGGCTCAGTTTTTGTAGTGCTCGAGTGGGCTGCGTGTGTCTTTCATTAACTGCCTGCCTAGCACTTAATATTTCGTTTTTCCTCTTTCTGTCCCTTTTGTTTGCGACTGAAGAGGATAAGGAGCTGAGCACCGTGTCTTGGTGACCAGGACTGGCCGCCGTGTCCGAGCGCCTTGTGCAGGGAGGGGTGGCGGGCCGTCGCTCTTCCTCTTGGATTACCGAAGTGTGTGTTTCCTGGATTTCCAATTAAAAAGAGGAAAGGGGGGCCAGAAAGTGGGGGATACCTTCAAGATGTATCCGCAGGGCCGGCATCCGGTAAGTGGATTTAAAGAAACCAGCGCCACCCCGCCATTCGGGGGCTGACTTTCATTCCCGTCCGCTGACACTGGTGATTAGTAAGATGGGGGTGTTTCAAATACCGAAAAATCAAAGCCGTGTTAAATCATATCCACTTTTAAGCCTTTGTTTTTTCTATCACTTTTTGTTTTGTTCCATGGCCGTTTCGGGCCGGCGGGAGGGGCACAGGTTAAGCGCAGTCGTCTGTCGTCGGTTGCACTGTTTATGTGATGGTGGTTTATTATTGCCATAAAAAGGGGGGGGGAGGGGCTGGGCTGTGGGACCCGTTCCGGGTGTTATACCGGCGGCCGGGGAGTGCTGTCCCCCGTGCTACTTTCCCAAACACCGGCGGCGTGGTTCTGATGGAAATAATGCGGCTGTAATCCGGACCCCGACGCCTGCTGCCGGGCGAAGGGCTTCCATACCTCTCGAAATCGCGCTCTTGTTTTGGTCCCATGTGCTGTATTTTTTGCTTTAACGTGTCAGTGTCATTTAGCTTCATTTTTATTTCATATTCTATTTAATCGACAGACTCCATGCTCAATTTATTTTCATTTACTACCCCATTTTCCCTTAATACCAGTTTGATGCCTTTTTCTTAATTCATGATGTTTATTACTTTTTCTTTTTTTCCTTTTCTCCCCTAGGCGCCCCATCAACCTGGTCAACCAGGGTTTAAATTTACTGTGGCGGAGTCCTGCGACAGGATTAAAGATGAATTTCAGTTTTTGCAAGCCCAGTATCACAGGTAATAATTTAAAAATGCATGGGGGGGTTGAGGGTTCTTACTTAACCCCAGGATGTGGTGATGTGTGCAGCATGGATGCACAATGGCAAATCCTGTGCCTAATGTAATTTAAGCTGCTGTGTATGTGATGATGTGGTTTGGGCAGAGGCAGCCAGCTGCGTGCTAATAGTCTGATGGCTCTGGGTATTAAGTTAGAGGGAATTCAAAATGTTTGACATGACTCGGTGACCTTTTTTTTTTTATTATTAATGAACACACAAGCGAGGAGACTGTGACTTATAATTGACACCTTGCTTTCAATTTCAGTCTTAAGGTGGAGTATGATAAGCTGGCCAATGAGAAGACGGAAATGCAGCGTCACTACGTCATGGTAAGACGGGACTGTGCTGTCTCTCTGGGGTGGCCCTGTGCACCTGGGCTGTGTAGGGGGGGGGGCTGGGACATGTGCACGGCTAATTTTGAGAGCTGTCCATCTTATTCCCCTCCCCCCCCCCTTATGAAAGACCTGACTTGACTTGGAACGCAGTTTCACGGAGCTGCCTTGTTTTGTTGAGCTGCGACCGTCTTCCTTGGGGTGGGTGATATATTTAAGGGGGGGCAGGGTGGCCAGAATGACTGCAGGCAAGCGCACAGCAGGGTAAAACAAAGTATATCCCTTTATAGTTGACCCAGTCACATTTGCTAATAAAATAAAAACAGAAACCGAATTGTGTATTAATGCTGTTTTCACCTTAAGGAATCGGAATGCTAGGATCATTAAACACTGAGCCGGGTGCTTGTGCAAGGTTTAAATAGAAAAGATAAACAAATCATTTCCATTTGTACACGATATAATGGTACAGGTTGAGCAGTGGAGGTCCACTCCTTATCTTGTTTATACATACTGTACAACGGTTGACTTTATCCAGCGCCGTGGTACTTCTGTTAAATAGTTTAATTTTTTTTTTCTTTCCCGCCGGAAAGGTCGTAGTGATCTGGGGGGGGGGACTAGCTTAGGTAAACACAGAGGAGTGACTGAGACCAAGCATTTACTTGTGGTGCTGGGTATACAGCTGCCACGACGTCTTGACTCTGATCTAAGATTTACGGGCCCCTTGTTTGAAAAGCCGACTGAGGCTCGGGGCTGCTGAATGGACGTCTCAAATCAGCACTTTTGGGGGTGTCTCCTTCCCCCACCCTGCCCTGTTTTCATTCAGATGAGAACAGTCACCTTTCACCGGGCTGTGGGGGTGGGGTGGGGGGGGAGCTGGTTGCGGCTTTTAAGCAAGGAAGGAACTTGAGAATTAATCAGTGACACTTTCTGTCCAGTTGGTACCTTCCTCTCCTGCTCTAAGTGGCTTTTTTTTTTCCTCCTTCTTAACCCCCCCCGTCTCTCAGACGGAAACCGCATACCCACCGAGAGTGTCTGACTGCTCTGCCCTTTTCTGAAACCTTATTTTAGGGTGATGCTTGGCAGGGGGAGGGGTCCCCTGTTACATTTTATATGCCCCCATTTGTATTTCAGTCACTTTTTCTTCCCGATGATTTGTCTTGAATTTAATGTCTTGGTTGTCCTGAATTTGGTCTGAACTTTTGCATGTTGGGTGCCGTCATGAGGTTTAGCATTTAATTTTCCGTTTCTCCTTTTTGTTTTCCAGTATTATGAGATGTCCTATGGGCTGAACATTGAAATGCACAAACAGGTATGTAACCGACTTGTGGGTTGTTTGTGGGTTTTGTAAACTGTTGTGGCCTCTGGGGCAGCATGTTGCCCGCAGGGACTCGGGGTGTGGATGTGGGCGAGGGCTCTGAGCTGCCGTCCGCGCCTGGGGGGTGTGGCTCTCAGCGTGGCGGCTGCGCGGCCTGGCCCGGGCCGTCGGGAGCTCTGGCCAGACTGCTTAGAGAACACTGACAGGTCAGCAGGACAGAGGGCCTTCTGGGGCTGCTTTGATAAGATTAAAGTCAAGACTTTGGCAGGAGGGGAGATGTGTGACTTAATAACTAAAGCGAATGGACTCTGAAGATTAAACCTGATTATTGCAGCCTCCCTAATGCCTAACTAACAATTAAAGGAGAGCCGGCGCCTGGCGTGACGGCGGCTTCCATAGGTCTTCTCAGAAGGTTTGCTTGACCTTGTTTCTGGTTACTCTGCACAGGATGTGAAGTCCTTGTTTCACAGTTTAGTCCTTTTGTTTAATTTATGTGCAGGAAGAAAAAAATGACTTAATGGTGAGATCTAGGGAGACCTGATGACCGCCATTCTGCTCCAGGAGCTAAATAAAAGCGAAGTGTGAATGGCTCTGTTGTATTTATCAAGTGTGTGTGGTTTTTTTTTATGTGAAAGTGGAACAACTACGGCTCCTGTCTCCTGTGAGAACATGGGGGGGGGGGTGTGTTATTTGTAGTCCTGGGAGACAGCCCGGCCCAGCATAAACTGGTTAATCGACTTGCTTGGATTAGTTCTGCTCTTATCGATGGCCCGGTGGGTCTGGCTCAAGGCTTTGAATAATTCATGTGGCAGCCATCTTTACAGCAAAGCGCTGATGACATCAGCACTGTGTTAACGTCTTGGAGTGGGGGGGGGTGGGGGTGACAGAATAGGCTGGGCTTCTTCATGCGTGCAAATGTATTTGCCAGGTTGGGTGATTTATTCAGAGCTGGGGGGTACACCTGCCTGCCGCAATGGCCCAGTAACGGCAGAGACCTTATCGCCATGCTGGCTTGCGGCAGTGGGGGCCCCCAGCCCTGAGATTACCCGATAATGTCGACCACAGTGCTTTGTTTTGACAGCAGTATTACTGCTCAGGAATTGGGAAGTAATTGTCTTAGCCCGCTGTAGATAAGCAGTTTTAATTATTGTAGCTCGTTACGGTGCTCCTGCGCAGCCTCCCAAGTGCACGCCAGGTGGGGCTGAGGTCTTGTGCGAGGTCACCTGTGGGCCATTGTGTGTGCGTAGCTTCGCACACGTGTGCACATGAGACTCGTGGGCTTCCTGACTGGAAGTCGCAGAAGCTCTTGTAATCGAGGGGTGCTTTGTGAAAGAGAAGCCCTCATTCAGCTTCCGCAGGGGTAGGTGTGAAGCGGTGGAGAGAGCTTGTTCAGATGAATAATTTATACAGGATTCTGGGAATTATTTGCCAAGGTGATGATGGTTGACTTGTCCCTGAGCCAAAACAAACTTGTGCAGTGTTTGAGGTGCGCGCAGCGCTCTCTGGGGGGGTGGGCTATGGAGATAGTCCCTAGTTACGGGCAGCCTTAGAACAGCTCCTGAAGCGTTCAGTTAGGGGGCGTGGCTGGGGTTCAGCGCTCCCTGGCAGGGATGCACGTGCCTCTTTATGCTGAAAGCACGCTGTCCTGGGTGGATTTTAAACCAGATGTCTGAATTATTAAAACTCTGCTCAGGAGAAGCTACACCGCGATATGTTTGCGTGTTCTGGTCCTACCTGGAGATGTCCTCTCCTGCGAGAGCTTCACGGCTGGTGAAGTCATGGTTTTCTTTTCCCTTTTTCGTATGGGGTGCTATTTCCCACCCCTCCTAATACTGCCGTGCTCGGGTTTGTTCAAGACTATGAACAAATGTGAGCGCAGAGCAACATTTAACCCCGCGTGCCCTCCCCCTGACCCCAGATCGATACAGAGGCAAACGGTAATGTCGACTGTCAGTCGGGTCCCAATTAGCTGAGCGTGGGCGCCTATACTCTGGGATAAACTGGCTGTCCTGCTCTCCTGGACCCCCCTTTACTGGACCCCCCTTTACTGGACCCCCCTTTACTGTGCCCAGTAGTGCTTCTAAACATGTCAGCTTAACGTTTTATTAAGTAATGATGATATGAACCCGGGGTGGCTGCACAAGTGCCCCCCCCCCACACACACAAGGCCTCTCATGCTGACAAGTGGCTTGTCGTTAAAGGTGTGCTTTACCTATTTCATTTCCTGCCCTGGGATTATTTGTGGCCAGGAAAAGTGAAATGCATTGCTACAATCAACCCCCCCCCCCCCCATTTAAAACTCCTTAGCATCTCACTCAACACTGCCGGTGCTGATAGGCGCAGACAAATGGCTTTAACGTGCCTCTGACTGGCTGGCCTGAGAGCCCTTCAGCGGGTGCTAGACGCTCCGAGTGCCTCTGATTGTCACCCTGCTCACCACTTCAGGGCTCTGCTGTCGTTGCCTTGGTGATGGCGTCCTGTTTGTACCCCGCGCTGAAAGCAACCCAGCAACGTTCCTGCTCCGGGCTGTGCGTGGAATCTGGCGTGTCTTTAAACATGCATCTGTTTGGGGGGGGGGCAAGGGGCAGATGTTTGTGTTTTGATCTCATTCTGGATGTTCCCATAGCGAATGAAGTGTCAGATTGCGAAGGAGGTGTGTCGGTGACCTCGTTGGGGTTTCCTTTTTCGAAGGGGTGGTATGCCCCCCCCCCAGTCCCCCCAAGTCACAGATGAATATAAACGCGTCTGATAGAGTGGGGAAGGAAATGCAGCCTTCCTGGGCTCCTATGTGCTCGCTTCCGTTTTGGATGGAGCGGTGTATCTGCCATAGGCCGGATGGGGAGTCACCTGACCTGGGTGTTGTGGGGTGGGGAGGGGGCAGGCAGGCAGTCCTGCATCAGTGTTCCCATCACCTGGCTTTACCGAGTGATTCCAAATCATTGAATGACTTGTTAGGGTGTTCAAAACGCAAAAATAACCTGGCCTACTGTTGTGTGGCTGTCCCTGGGTTTAGGGACTTCCTCATGTGACAGAGGGTTTCATTTGTCTGCCTTAGAGCCACCTGTAAGCAGGAAGGCAGGCCTCGTCTCCCTCCCTCTCTCTCTGACTGCCCAGCCCCCTCCCCCCTCGGCCCTCCCTCTTCTGCCCGTTTTATCCGCCATTAATTTGCAGATCTGATCGACAGCCTGAAAATTCAATTTAATGACCTGCCTCTGTGCACTTAATATGATTTTACAGCCTGCTACGGTCAAGCAGAGGTACAATTTACATAATGATCAGAGTGCGATAGGGCGGCTGCGGTTGCTGTGGCAACCTGGCAAGGGGCTGAAGAAATGGTGGGGGGCTGGGGTGTTTGACAGACAGGGAGGGGTAGGAGGTGGGAACGGAAAAGCTCTGAGTCGGAGAGTGTGGCTGCCCCGGTCAGGGAGCTGAATGTGGCACGTTTGGGACACGCCTCACCCCTGGGTGCCGGGATTGGATCACACTGGGGTCATGCTAATCGCCTGAATGAGGGTGGGACTGAGCTAATGAACCCCCAGCCCCACCTCGCACTTCGTCTCTGTAGGATGGCTTTGGTCAGCGTCGTTTTAAGTACTTTGACACATTTTTGCAGTGTTTTTAAAACGTGACGCGCTTTGGGTGGAGGGCTCTGTCTGCAGCCATCTGGGGTCACATGAAGGCATCGTGTTTGGGAGCGGCTTGGCAGTCGGCTTCAACTGACCTATTTGATTTGTAAGTCGCTGCCATGCTGAGCGTGTGTGTGTGTGGGGGGGGGGTATCTGTCCTTCACGTGGCCCTGTTTGGGAGCAGATGTGAGCCGCCTCTGGGCCCCCATCGAGTGGCCTACTTGTGCCTGCGGTGTCGCCCTGCTCGGCTCGGAGGCCTCGCTATGAAATTATAAATGACCAGCTGCTGGTGCAGCCCCTCCCGGCCCAGGCGTGTGGCAGTGATACAGCCGGCTGTCTCCCCGCGCACATGCACCAGGGCGGCGCTCTGAAGTGGTGCCCAGCGATCCTCCCTTTGCTAATGGACGTGGCACCGGCTACCGGAACGGGGATTCATCCTACTTTTAGCCAAGCCGCCCCCCTAGCTCCCCAGAACCGCCTGCTCTCCAGATGGACCCAGCAGGCAAACGGGCCCAACGGAATGTTTGGCCGGTCCAGAGCCGCCAGGACCGCTGTGTGGGGCATCCGGGTGCCAGGCCAGGGCACGGTGGCTGAGTGTGTGTGAGTGTGTGTGAGTGTGTGTGAGTGTGTGTGTGAGTGTGTGTGCCCATCCGCCCCGCCCTCGCTCACCTTCACCGCGTCCTCACATGTCACTCAGGGGCTGATGATGCTGAACCACCCCTCCCTGTGGAGACCAGCCAGCGGGAAATCTCACAGTGAAACCTCTCTTCTTTTGCAGACTGAGATTGCAAAGCGACTCAATGCAATCCTCGCTCAGATCATGCCGTTTCTGTCACAAGAGGTGAGTCCAAAAGTTCATGTATATAGTTTAGTCTGCAAATTACTAGTTACCCTGTTAAAAATGAGTATTGTAACTGTTTTGATTACTTCATCGGAGTAATGTAACTTTACATTTGGTTACTTTTTTGATTTTTTTTCTGACAAATATTTTAAACTGGGAAAAGCTGAAGTCTCATCAGTCCGCTGACCTGTATTGTTTGGCAATATGCCAAGAGGAAGCGTTACTGCATGGGGAAAAGATTCAGAGCAACAAAATGAATGTCACATTCCATATATAAGCATTTTAATGAAAATAATATATTTGGGTATATAATATATAACTCCATTATAATCACCAACATCAGTAACTAATTTAATTACAATTAATCGAATATTTCCGTTGTAATTTAATTATGTAATGCTGCACATAACTACCTACGCGCCAACACGTAAATGATATAATAATATGTTTAGTGATGTTGGTATAATGTTGTCTCGGAGTGTTTGGCCCCCATCTGACCCAGCCCTGTGTGTCCCTCCCCAGCACCAACAGCAGGTCGCACAGGCTGTTGAACGTGCCAAACAGGTGACAATGACCGAGCTGAATGCCATCATCGGGGTACGTGGACTTCCCAATCTGCCCCTCACCGTGTGTATACCGCTCTTTATTCCTTCATTTGACCGTTGCCGGGGGTGAAGCTGCACACAGGGGGCAACAGAGGCAGTTAGAGGAGGGGGGGTCCAGCGGCTGCTCCTGTGTCAGGGTCAGCTGCTCCAGGGTCTAATGATCACTTGCACGTTTGATTTGGCCATCTTACTCTGGGGGCCGGGGGGGGCGGGGGGGGTCAGACCGAGAGGCTAGGGGCTGTGAGGCAGCTCGCCGTCGCCCCCTTGTGTCCGCAGGCTCACCCCCGCTGCTGCTGCTTGTGTGTGTTTTTTGTCGAGCTGCTTCCGTGTGTGTAGCGGCGTGTTCTGCTGATGCTGTGTAATGGCCTGTGTCGTTTGCCCTTTGGGCGAGTCGGTGCTGTTCCCATTCATGCATGTGTCTTCATTCCGCCCCGAGGCACGTGAGTGTGAGAGTGTCCGGGGGATTTATGGACTTTCGACGCTGCCATTTATTAATTTATTTATTTATTTTTACACGTTTTAATTGACCACTCATCACAGGTTCCGCTTTAATCGGGCGGAGCGGTGTGATCGCCCCCTGCTGGTCAGTCTGTCCAGCGTCGCATTCCTGACACGTGTGGAACCGCACGTCCTGTGGAAAGATGCTTGTTAGCAGCTCTGCTCCGGCAGACGGGAGCCAGGCTTCCTTCTCCTTTGTAACACCCCCCCCCCCCCGGTGCTCACGTAGCCCCCAGTTCTGGTGCCGTGTGGCGGGGGTCTGCCGGCCTGCCTTGATTAGCCCCCCGAATGCAGCCATTAGGGGCCTGTGCAGCAGGTCAGGGCAGCTGCAGGCAGATATTGGAATTCAATTAAGGCAAATGAGCCAGGACTGTGACCCCCTTTTTCAAGGTAATTGCTTCCTCGAATGCAGCTGAATGCAGCTGTTGGTGAGGCCTGTTAAGCAGACGGCCGTTACAGGGGGTGGGGTGGCTGGGCCTCAGTACACACGCACACGCACACACACACAAAAACAGACATTATTCGCTGGATGGAGATGACAGGGGCTCGATTCTGGCCCCCACCCCCCTTGTGTGAGGCTGTGGGTGGAAAGGGATTCGTTACAGATTCATTCTTAATCAGAAGCCAGCAGCATTTGGCAGTTCTTTACAGGTGGGGGGGGGGACAGAATGCAGTGTGTCTGTGTGTATATTTTACACCTGTTTCTTCCCCCCCCTTCTTACTGGAACATGCGTATGACCGATAGGGGTGACTCCTAACAGATCTGTGGCCTCTTAAATAA